CTAATTATACTTAACTAATTCTTACTCCAAATGATCTTGTTTTGAATTACTACTTTTGTGTCATGTATAACTTACATTAAGTTAATACTTTTCTCTTGAGGAAAAAAAGTGGTTGCCCCTTCCCTTTCTATCTATTATCTTGTAAATTATCTATCAATTATCTTCTAAACTGATTGGGTAATTGGGACTTAGTGCAAACCATACTGAAACAAGGCGTTTCATTACTAAAGATAAGAAAACAGCTACTAGCCTCAGAAAAGCAATGACCTGTGGGTAATTGAGATGCAATGTCCAATGCAGTCTACATTAGCATGATGTAAAAATTTTAGGCAATGGGGAATCAAAGGGGAAATCTAGATGTATTATACTCTATAAAATCAGAGCCTCTGACTGTATTCTCTTTTTTATCTTTTATTTTTTTTATGTTTTTATTGGTTTCAGAGAGAGGAAGGGCAAGGGAGAGAGAGAGAGAGACATCAATGCTGAGAGAGTCATTGACTGGTTGCCTCCCACATGTCCCCTACTGGGGGTCCAGCCCGAACCCGGGCCTGTGCCCCAACCAGAGATCAAACCGTGACCCCCTGGTTCATAGGTCAATGCTCAGTCTCTGAGCTGCGCCGGCCGGGCCTGCAACTATTCTGTTAGACAGTGCACATTAGCTAACAGAAGGATAGAAAATCCATCTAATTTACTGTCTGGTATATCATGTTTCACAATATTTGGGAGTAAAAGAACAAGGAAAATCCTTACAGTAGACGTCTCGCAGTAAATCCACAAGGACCAGGATCAGTGAGCCTGATAAGTAAGTAGGGTGACTAATGCTTCAGAAGGTCAGATTAATAACACTTCTGGATCACTTCTAAAGGTAATGAAGCCAAAACACGATTAAGAACGGAGGTATCATGTTGAAAAGGAGAAGTGGAGCTAGCCGATGTGTCAGGGAAAAGACTGTAGGAAGTAAGGAAGCCAACCCCTTCTCGTTTGAACACGCAGACACCCATCATTAAGAATTGGCTGGAATCCATTTTAATATTCAAGGCTCCAAACTAAGATGGTATGGTAGAAATGTTAGCAATTAAATTACTTCATCACTAAAATTCCTATTAAATTAAATTAAAAGCAGTTAAATCAGAATGGCCATTTACTTTACCCTGAAAATTACCCATAAGCAGGTCCTCTACAATACGCCCGGGATGTAGTTTCCATGGGCTCTAAAATGTGTGTATATATTTTCAATTAGTGTTCACCTTTCAAAGATATTCTCAACTTTTTATTTTCTTAAAAATGCCATACTTTATCATCTTAATGTACCACCGCTTAGTCAATAGTTTTAAAAAACACTAATCCAACTAGCTCGCTGCGGTTTGGATGTTCTTGAGTCGCACAGGGATCATAAGTAAAACTACTCTCACTGTTAGGTTGTGAGGAGAGTTCCTCCGATAATTCCAGGCGCCCCTGGTTCAGGTATTTCGGGTCATCTCCTCTCTCTGGAAGCAAGAAAACTCAGGGAATGAGGCCCGGTGGACCTACCCGCCTCACCCAGAGGACTATGCCGATTAACCTTCAGCCAGAATTCCTTCTGAATACATATGCCACGTGCTTCTTTCTCTAGGAAGGCCCTGCCTAAATTGATGGTTTAAAAAGCACTTACATTTTAATGATGACGTCCTAACTTGTGAAAAGATACAGTCTAATATGCGTTTGCATCCTTTCGATGTGAAATGTGCTGCGACGGATCAACAAAAGTACATCAGATGGCCCCTGTTTTCTTAAAAGCAAACATCTATAGCTGCTTTTCACCCATAATTAAAACGAAAGGGTGATTTCCTCCCCCTGGACACTGTAGGGCAATTGTGAACTCACTGATCACCCTAAAAGACAGATCCCTGAGGTCCTGTTCTGAAAGCCAAGCTAAGCACCCACCAACCCACAAATGCGGCCGTCGCGGTGTACTTTCTTTATGCTAGCAATGAGCAAGACTTTTAAAAAGTTGTTACGCCATGCCCTTATGATGTCTCCTCCCTGATATTAATAGTGGATGCTGAAATAGTCTATGCTGGAAAAAGAAAGAAACTCTAATGCAAGCACTTGTGCCTTCCCCATTGAAAACAAGCGGCTACGGCTTGGCATGACCTTTCCTCTCTACGGAACACAGCGTTTTACACAATAGTTCCTGGTTCGTGCTTCAATTCCTGACTTTTACTGCGCAGAAAATTAATGCGATTTTCACTGTAATCCATCCGTACGAATAAGGCCCACAAGGAATTCCACATGAGGAATCTAAGCCACATAAGAAATGTCAGCCGACTGCTGTTGGCTGAACCTGGCCGTTACCTGGGCGCCTCGCACCCTGGACTTGTAACAAGCACTTCTCGTGCGGCCCGTCGGGTATAAGAAAGAAAATGTTCCTCTCCTCAAAGTTTAGTTTGTACATTTCATTCCCTAAAAGCCAGAGAACTAGTTACCTGACAGTTCTATGCTGCAGCTGAAGGCCCAGGAAGGCAGAACTGCGGAGTCTGATTTGGTTTCTAGCAGGGTTCGCCACCTGGGCCTTTCACAACCAGGAGGGAGCAAAAGGCTACAGTGATGTCATTTTACAACAATCCCTGTTCCAGACAATAAAAGTATGACAGAGGCCAGACCGCGTCCTGGTCTGTGCCTCGGAGACAGGCAGGACCTGGGAAAGCGTCCATCCCCCGAGAGGGCCGCGCCAAGGGGGCCGGCGCGCTTTCATCTCCCCGCTCGTCTGCGATGGTATTTGGTGGGAAGGGGCGCTGGCGATTAAGGGGTGTCACTCTCAAGATGGATAGTTTGGATAGAAAGGAGTTCCCTCTCTCCTCCTAGCTGGGGAGGAAACGGCTGTGTGTTTATAATTTGTAAACAGTCCCTGTCTCCCCGGGTGTGTTACAGTTCCCAGAAGCGCGGTCTGTCACGTCTAAGACTCAACAGAAGCCAGAAGGGCCGCGCGGGTGAGGCCTGGGGACGCGCCACCGAGGGCGGTGGTTCGGTGCCTGTGTGCGCAGGTCGATGGTGAGGGTGCCTCGGTCGTGGAGGCTGCTAGACATGGGGAAGAAATAATGGATTAAAATACGTATAAGATGCCCGGCCGGTGTGGCTCAGCGGTTGATTTCGACCTGGGATCCAGGCGATAAGGGTTCGATTCCCGGTCAGGGCACATGCCCAGGTTGTGGGACTGATCAATGACTCTCTCATCATTGATGTTTCTATCTCTCTCTCTCCCTCTCCCTTCCTCTCTCTGAAATCAATAAAGATATATTTAAAAAAAAAAACAAAAACAAAAAACGTATAAGAATGATGTGTGCTCCAAAAGTCTTAATGTTGAAAATCCCTCTAGATACAAATCCCTTAAAGAAGTGAGAGTGTCCGGCCGGTGTGGCTCAGCGGTTGAGCATCAACCTATGAGCCAGGAGATCGGGGTTCGATTCCCGGTCAGGGCACAGGCCCGGGTTGCAGGCCCCTCGATCCCCAGCAGGGGGCGAGCAGGAGGCAGCCGATCCATGACTCTCATCATTGATGTTTCTCTCTCTCTCTCTCTCTCTCTTCCTCTCTCTGAAATCAATAAAGATGTATTTAAAAATAAATAAAAAGGGTTGGCCAAACAGAAAGAAACCTTCCTCACTTCCAAGTCTTGGTTAATAAAATGCAGAATTTCTCCTGGTGTGTATGAGAAATAACGTTGAAATACCGTCATTAAGACTCGCTCTCCCTTTGGTAAACCAGATCCTCACGCACTTTGGCTTCGCTATGACCACGTCCCGTGCGCAGGGAGTTATGTCACTCAGAGGCCACTCGCATCAATTCATCAAGAGGATAGTTGCGTCTGTGTGACCTTTATTCTGAAAAAGGGCAATCCGCTTTAAAGAAAATATTTTACTACTTAATTTTATTATTCTGCTATGAACGATCATTTTAACGCAACAAATGCGGTTTGCTTTGTAATCCCCTCAATTTGCTACAAATGGGCAAAAGCATCTGGCTCTCCTGATTAATTTTAAGGCTCTTTGTGTCATGGAGCCGGCGTTTTTAGATTCCTTTCTATTTCCTGAGCATTTTCTGTTGGATGCTAATTCTTACGGCTCCCCCTTTGCCCCTTCCTTCCCCGTCAAGCACCCCCTCAATGCCGCCATCACATGCCCCGCGCACCCACAGGTTCTGGGGGGCTGGGGGCCACGAAGCTGGTAGCATCGAATTTGGCATTTCCCTTTTTCCCTTTCATTCCAGAAGGTTTGTCTGAGAGCGTAACAGCAACAAAAGCAACGGGTTTGAGATGCTCCCAGGAGAAGGAAAGGGACAGATGTCCACAGACGTATAGCTGGAAGCAGTGCCAGCAACAGCTGGGGAAGTGACAGGCTCTGGGGTGGGTGCGGCCCCGCAGCGCGCAGGCGGGAGCCTGGAGGGGAGATTTCCCCGCGCTTCCCGCGCTGCCTCCCTGTGCCCAGGAGGCGGCGAGCCCCCGCCTGCGTCCAATGACAGGCCTCCGGCAGGGGAGCATTTTGTCTTATCTCAATTATGCCTTACATTTTGCCTCTTTCATCCACATTTTAAAAAATGAATGCCAAAAATAAATATTTGTTAAAAAGGGACATATATATATATATTTTAAATATGTCTTTATTGATTTCGGAAAGAGGAAGGGAGAGGGGGAGAGAGAGAGAAACATCAATGATGAGAGTCATTGATCGGCTGCCTCCTGCCCGCCCCCTGCTGGGGGTCGAGGAGCCTGCAACCCGGGCATGTGCCCTGACCAGGAATCAAACCACGACCTCCTGGTTCCCAGGTCAAAGGTCAAAGCTCAAACACTGACCCACATGCCAGCTGGGCAAAAAGGGATATATTTTATAAATTACAAAAAATATAAATATACTGGTTCCTATGTAGTACCAAAAAAAAAAAAATACCATTTGACTCAACCTGGATGAAAGGTACCTGCCAGAGACATTAATGTTCCGTCCCTTTCGTGTCTGTCTTGGGCCACTCACCTTGTCTTCTTCATCTTCCTCTTCATCCACGTCTGTGCCCTCCTGAAATAAAATGTTTTATTAACATTTGTTAATAAAATGTCAGCAGAAATTACCAAATGCGAGCTAAACTCATTCATATTAAAAAATTCTTTTCCTACATAATATAAGTACCAGTATTTTTTTTTAAAGAGTGGTGCTGCTTTTTTAATATGTTTTTATTGCCAGGCTGATGTGGCTCAGTGGTTGAGCATCGACCTATGAACCAGGAGGTTGCGGTTTGATTCCTGGTCAGGGCACAGGCCCGGGGTGCAGGCCCCTCGATCCCCAGCAGGGGGCGAGCAGGAGGCAGCCAATCCATGACTCTCATCATTGATGTTTCTCTCTCCCTCTCCCTTCCTCTCTCTAAAATCAATAAAGATGTATTTAAAATATACATATGTTTTTATTAATTTCAGAAAGAGGGAAGGAGAGGGATAGAGATAGAAACACTGATGGGAGAGAATCATTGATCGGCTGCCTCCCGCATGCCCCTATCGGGAATCAAGCCCGCAACCCAGGCATGTGCACTGACCAGGAATCGAACCGTAACCTCCTGGTTCATGGGTCGATGCTCAACCGCTGAGCCATGCTGGCCGGGCCAGTACTAGTATTTTAAAAAGTGCAATATTTTAAATACTCTTGAAAATAACACTTTGAAAGTTCAGGGACTCTGTGGTATAAGTATAAACAATCTGCATAATCTCCATAAAACTTTACTATAAATAACACTATTAGGCAAGTGCCCTTTGAAGGCGCCCAGCTTTTAAAATACATTGCTGAGTTGTACCTTCTGTAAACAGTTTTGTTCTCATTCTGACAAATGAGCCAACTGCTACGTTAAGGCTGAGAATACCATACTCCGTTTGTGCGAGACTCATTGTTGTAATGATTTCTGTCTTTTCCTTTGGGGCCATTACTGAAACATTAGACAGTAGAAATGCATTAGTCTGAATATAATCAATCTCGAGAACAAGTTATAGGTTTCTATACGTTACCCTTGTTTTCCTTGGGCTTGGGGTGTGGGTGGGGGAGCAGGTGAGGGAAGGAACTAGGCCCCGATCTGGGCTGTAGGGTGCCTGGCTTTAGTTCAGGGGTCACAGTACCCGTTGGGATGCAAATGGGTTGGTTCAGATTGGTTTTAAAATCTTGTCCTTCTACTAGGTACATTTCCATCCTATCACTGCAATATTTCAAAGCAAAGGCATGTTGGTTCACCATCACATAGGTTTGGTGGCTTGCAAAGAATGCTGGATAGTAGAAAACCAGGGCCTATTTTTAGCTTGGACACTTGCCTCTCCACTTAACCTTGCAAAGGTCAGGCGTGCTGTTTAGATGTCAGTGTTCCCACGGAAAAAATATTTGTCAGTATCATACTCTTAAAAGGGAGCAACTCTGAAGCACCCAGAGAGTACGCTGCTATGCTCCATAAAACCACTGGGCATGCGTCGAGCAATCTCTCCAGGGCTGGTAATGCAATACCTCCCAGAAGCCCATGAGCTTCAACTAGCAGGTGTGTGACACTCACTGATACCGGACAACTAACCTATTCACTGCTGGCAGCAAGCACTCAAGAACAGAGGGACACATGCCCACCCAGACTCTGCTTTCCCTGGGAGTTGGCAAGCCTCCAAGAAGCCCCTGAGCCTTCCGATCAGAGGTGAACATGGCACAGTGGGCCTGGTGGAGGGGCCCGAGTCACCCTCACGGATGCTCTGTGTCCCCTGNGGGGGCCTGGTGGAGGGGCCTGAGGCATCCTCACAGGTGCTCTGTGTCCCCTGAAGGGGCCTTTCTCTAGTAGCTGAGAATGTTCAGCTTACGGAGAACCAGATATGCACATAGACATATGNTGGGCCTGGTGGAGGGGCCCGAGTCACCCTCACGGATGCTCTGTGTCCCCTGAAGGGGCCTTTCTCTAGCAGCTGAGAATGTTCAGCTTACGGAGAACCAGATATGCACATAGACATATGCTGCTGGCATGGAAAAGGTGACCAAGGGACAGAGGGCACTCCTGACCCTGAGGAAATAGGCCAAGACTCAGAAACACAAGATACTATAGAAAGAAGAGCCCAGGTTACAGCTGACATAAGATCTCTACTATAGCCCTGGCTGGTGTGGCTCAGTTGGTTGAGTGTCATCCCAGGCATGGGTCAAGGCCACATGCCCGTGTTGCAGGCTCGATCCCCAGTAGGGGCTGTGCAGGAGGCAGCTGACCAAAGTTTCTCTCTCTCATCGATGTTTCTCTCTCTCTCCCTCTCCCTTCCACTCTATCTGAAATCAATAAAAACATATTTGAAAATGAAAAAAAAAAAATCTCTACTATAACCTGGATATATGTGCAGGGTGGCTCCTCGAGGCTCAAACCAAATGGAGTTGGGTCATGATCTGGTGCTGGTGGTGCTGGCTTCTTATTGTTAACACATTTGTCTCTAGTCCAACGTCAGAATTATTGGAATCTTGGCTCACCTGGCTGTCCTGGGTGCTGCCGACCTTCCCTTTCACGGGTGTGATGAAGTTGTAGACAAAGAGCAGCAGTAAGGCCAAGGGGATCATGTACAGTTCAAAATTCCAGACAGTGACCAAAAACACCTGATTGAAAAACAAGGGCAAATCACTGCTTGAGAACACAGTACAGGGACAATCTTAAATTCAAGAAATTAAACACAGTAGCTGTTAGAAACAGTTACAAACAAGCTAGCACGCACACATGTATGTGCACACATGTGCAATGATTTACACAGTTGTAAACTGGTACAATGAAGACGAAATGAATTGGCCAGTCACACTCTGGGACAGACAGATACACGGTCCCATACCTGGAAACCCCAGTCCCCCTTCAGCCCTATTTGGTTTCTTGATCTTAGATTTATTGTAACAGTCTGAAGATAAAGTACTATGCAAAACCCCAAGGTCTCAAAGAGCCAGGCCACACACCAAATTTTGCCAAGAGTAAAGTTGATTTTCAACTGGAGAGCGGGAATATTTTTCCAATTGGCTGCCGATATTTTAAGATCCAAATAGTTCAGATAAAAAAAAAAAATCCAATTTCCAAGGTCTATTTAAAAATCTTAAAATCTTCCAATGTTGAGGCTGGATGGCCCCAAGAAAATGATGAATTAGAAGTACCTACATCAGACAAGGAATGCCCCCCACCCGCCCAGTTTCTATCAGCCGTTGACTGTGTGACCCCGACCATGGAAAGGACAAGCAAGGGCTTAGATTTGTACCAACCGTCTATGTCACAATGGTCACAGGAGACTGGGATGCAAGTAAGGACACAGCCCTAGCCCTGTCGGCGTGGCTCAGCAGCTGAGCAACCACCTACGATCCAGCAGATCGGGGTTCGATTCCCGGTCAGGGCACAGGCCCGGGTTGCGGGCTCCTCGATCCCCAGCAGGGGGCGAGCAGGAGGCAGCTGATCAATGACTCTCATCATTGATGTTTCTCTCTCTCCCCCTCTCCCCTCCTGTCTCTGAAATCAATCTCTCTCTCCCTCTCCCCACCAAATGTGTGTGTGTGTGTGTGTGTGTGTGTGTGTGTGTATAAAAGAAAGTGTAAGCTAGAAGGAAGGGGTCAGTTAATGGAAGGACCTATACGTCATGGTGGTCAGCTGAAGATGTAACCAGAAAAAGCAGAAAAGCTCTAAACTGAGCGAAGAAAGAAGGCATCTAATACGCTGCAACTATTGGCTTCCCCCCCTGAAGTGGTCATAATTTCAGGTCTAGAATCAGACAATAAATTTCTCATTATGTGTTTTTGCCGAAGCTGGTAATTGAGCAGTTGAAAGTCCGATTTGGGTAAATTCATCTTTCAAAGCCATCAGCAAATTCTCTGCTCTGATTAAAGGAAGGCAGAAAGGATCCTCACACATTCATTTATTCCCCATAAAGCTGGGTATCCTGAAGAGGTCAAGAAAAAAATTCCATTAAATGCACCGATAAGTGTCTCATTCATTTCCGAGGTGTAATTGTTGGCACCGTGGGCACCGTCCGTGGTGAGGTCCGCAGGGCCTCTAATTGTGCTCTAAGTGGACAAAGCTTCCCCCGAAAGTGTTCTCTGACTCGGGGCACGTGGGCATCGGGCCGCGATTGCGACTAAAAGCCTCAACACTTACGACTCCTTCGTGCTTGGAGAAAGACTGGATCAGAGGGAACGCAGCAGAAACGCTCCGGGTAATAAAGCAAGTGTATCTAATTAGCATTAGTGCAGTAACAGAATAAAGCAGTTCACTGTATTAAGTTACTCCACTTACAGCTTTATTTCTGGCACTAAAAGAAAGACACAGGGTCCCAGTAAGTTCCCATTAGCCCGCGACAGCTCTGTCCATGCTCAAGGTGCTTTAACTGGGGAGCCTCCCTCCCACGGTGATTAGTGAGCAATGCTATTTATAACCAAGTACAATTCCTTCAGGAGTCAGATCAAGAATGTCTCGGGTGGCCTCCCATTACTCACACAGGCCACCTATTTGCATAACCAGAAAGAAAACTGTGTTTCTGTCCGAGCCACCTACACTTGCCGCTAAAAACAATAACAACGCCAAGGTTTGGAGTGTCCTTTCCTTCGGGACTAGTCCAAAGAGCTTTCCTCCGATGCTGAGAAAAAACCATAAACCAGTAAGAAACCCAAAACACAGCCTGTCAGCATGTGTATGTGCGAGCACGCACACTCACACACTCACATGCTCACTGGCACACACACTCCTTCACTTCACCATCAGTGGGTCACCCGAATAAAAGTCTGAATCCAAACCCAGCCACTCCACACTCCATGTCTGGCCTGTGACGTTCAAAATCTGCTGCATTGTGTAAATAAATGTGCTCAAAACCACCACCACCAAAAAATAAAATTAAATTAAAAATCCTGAAATAACGTTTATGTCTAATTTCAAACCCCCCAAAATCATAAGTTTGATGACACAAAGGGAAAAGAAAGTCTCCCTCCGCTTTCCTAAGATCTGGCCCATGTGAGCACAGAATGGACATATCTGAAAAGGCCCTTTCGAAAGCAAGAGGCAGATGTCCAGGCAACAGCGAAGCCAGGCCACTGTTTATTTTAATAAAGCTGTTCTACGTGCAGCCCCAGATTAGGAGTGGCACTGGGGCTGGGCCATGTCTAAACTATCACCACCTGCTGGCCCTGAGAAATCAATTAAGGCCACACTTTCACAGCAAGTCCCTTCTAGCCAATAAAACTGAGCTTCGTCCTGAGACTTCAGCCCTCAGAAGAAACGCACGTGAAACCCGAATCCTGGGCCTCGCATTCCTGCCCCGCTCGGTTCATATAAACTAACCAGGGTCAAACCAGCCTCCTGGGGCAGCGGGGGGAATGGGAGGAAGGGGGAGCCAAACAGGGACAGGAAAAGAGACAGAAACGCCGGCCTCTATCAGCCTCATCCTGAGAATCACACCTCCTTTTGGCGAATTCCAGTAATTTCTTCAAAGGCTCTTTCTCCCCCTTTTCAGAACACAATTCTGTGCTACATTTTCTGTGCATGAGGAGAGATTCAACTCTGCCAGTTGAAAGCAGGGGCAGGGAAGCCATCCCAAGTGCTTTAGTAATTAAACAAATATGCATAATGAACCATATACCCACAGGGCCTATTCTTCATGGGGGCCAGGTTTTTGTTTGAATTTTTAATTTTTATATACGGATGAAACACTCGGTCTCATCGACGAGGGACAGTCCATGCAGGCGCAGGGATGGGAGACAGCAGAGAAATTCTCTCCTGGAGACGTGGATTGGAATGTGTTTTCCCCCCTCTAGCAACTGTCCCCTTCATCCGGCTCACAGTCTGCGGGAGACACATATAACTAATACACTGAAAGCTCCGTAGAGTCGGAGTAAAATACAGTGGCATCCGTTGAGAAGTGTGAAAATCCCATGGGACAAACAAGGATTTCTTTTTTTTTTTTTTTTTTAAATCCTTCTACACCCATCATTCAGACAACCATCTTGAATTACAGGAAATCCTCCCAAGGAAGCTACATAAATATTGTGCTGCAGGCTCTGGGCACATATATTGCAGTGTGAACCCAATTCGTTCTTCTCCATGATGCAACTGTGTGTAGTGGGAGGAGAATTCTCAGGGCGAAAGCAAGCTTGCCCTCCCCGCCCCTACAGAAATATAGACTACATTTCTTTTATTTATTTTTTTACTGATTTCAGAGAGAGGAAGGGAGAGGGAGAGAGAGAGAGAAACATCAATCATGAGAGTCACGGATCAGCTGCCTCCTGCGCGCCCCCTACTGGGGATCGAGGAGGCCGCACCCTGGGCCCTGACCGGGAATCGAACCGCGACCTCCTGGTTCACAGGCCGATGCTCAACCGCTGAGCCACACTGGCCGGGCTAGACTGTGAATTTGAGAGATACAATAGCCTCTTTCAAACATTCAGGTCCCTCATATGCCGTGTTGAAAGAACGGGTAAAAGCTTCCCTGAAACTTTTCAGTGTCATTTAGAAAACACTGAGTTATAATCAAAGCGAAGTAAGACACAGAGTGTGATAAAATTGCTATCATCTCTAGACACACGGGACCCAGCAAGAGAAGAGAGCTTTTTAAAGAGGTGTTTGCACGACATTTGAAATGTACAGTGCTGCGCCTGGACAAGGTTAGCAGGCCCCACGCGTGGGTCGGTCCTGTACGTGCCTAATTCAGGATAAACATTTCAGGGTGGTGTGACTGAGTGTGTGAGTGTGTGTGTGTGAGTGTGTGTGTGTGTGTGTGTGTGCACGTGCACTTCCTGCGGAGGAAACGCTTCAAGTTCACTATTCCCAAAGTCTTCAACCAAAATCACACAGATGCAAAATGCCACCTCGGGCCCCACTGGCGTTCAGAAAAGATTACGAAAACAGACCGGATCAAAAGCCAAAGCGCAGCCCCCCTGTGAGCGCAGATATGCTGCCCTTTCCGCAACGTAAACACCAGAATGGAATGTCAAGCATTTAAAGAGGGGGTGACTGCGAATAACACCCCTCACTGCCTCCCCCGCCACGCAGTTTAGGCCTCTGAGGCCGGCTGGGGGACCCGGCCTAGCGGTCTCAGTGGAAAGGCAGCTCAACTTCAAGGGCAGGCGGGCCCAAGACAAGAACTGACCAGGGGCTCACCTCTGCTGACTGTTTAAATCCTTTCAGGAAGCTCCGGAGCAATTAGGGAGGGAGGGGAATCTTTGCAGAGTGCATTGCACCCTGCGACCTCCCGGAGGACAGATCAGGCCTCAGCCACATAATGCTTCCCCCGAAGGCTTTTCAGCTAGTGCGTCTGATCTCTTTGTCACTCGAGTGCCACTCTAGGTACTGTCCTAGCAGATGGCATTACTCATGGATTTTCCAGGCAGGAAAATCGCCATCCTCCTCAGCAGTGCTTCTTGCATCTTTAAGATAAGCAAGTCCGGACTCCTGGAACACAGTCTTGCACAATTCTCTTGCTATTTATTTTATTTTATTTTTTTCAAGCTCCAAAATCCATTCTGTAAAAGTGACTTAGCTGCATAAATATGCACAGGCCACTGGGTGAGCAAGGGGCGTGGGGTGGGGACAGCTTCAAAACATCGGGTGCTTTTTGTCCATAAAATGAGTCACGGAGGAAAAC